GCGGAGCAGGGAGCCCAATGTGGGGCTCGATCCCAGGACCCTGGGATCATGACCTGAGCCGAAGGCAGACGCTTAATGACTGAGCCACGCAGGCGCCCCTGTGTTTGTCTGTTTGTTTGTTTTTGTGTTTGTGTGTGTATTTTGTGTGTGTTTGTTATTTTTAATGAGAAAAAAAGATAAAAAAAAAAGGAGCCATCAAATCAAGAACATAAATGTGCATAGTAAATCCCAGAACGCTAGGAGAGCAAGTGATAACATTATGCAGAAGGCCATAGAACTTGAGAAACCGAAGGAAGAAAAATGTGGGTATTTAAGGAACACATCTAAGTTTGTTATTGGATTTACAGGGTCCAGTCATGGCTCCTTGGGCCACATGGAACATGACTTCTAGGAACAGAATAAGCTGATGCAGCAAGACCCAGCAGGATGTGAATTCTTTTCATGTAGTGGAAACTTTTATACCATCAGTACCAAAGCCATATATTTACTCTGAGTTCATAACACCATCTGGTCATCTGGTACTCACCCCTGCAAAACGGAGCCGGGAAGTCCCACGAAGCACCATTCCCAGGGCTGACGATGCAGGTCAGAATTGCATGGCCTTCCAAGATATAGCCAGAGAGACAGCTATACCTGATCTTGTCCCCAATATTGAACCTTGTTCCGTGGAGAACTCCTTTCAGTATTTCCCCAGGATTTCCACATGTGTGGCTAGGTAAAACTATTGAAAGAAAAAAAAGAAAAGTTAAAGGTAGTTCTATTGAGATAAACTTCTATCACAAAACAGGCACTGCATTTGAACTATTCAGATTAGCAAACCTAGCACAAACACATTTTCATTTTGCCTGAAAAAATAGAGAAAATGTATTCGTGTTTTAGAATATCTACCATTTAACCATGTTTAAAGATCCTTTTAAAAGTATAAATAAATGCAACTTCAGAAGAGGAAAAAATACAATTCTGCTTAGACTCTGTGTTCTAGGTGATATGTAGATTATTTTTCTAATTATGAGATTCTACAGTCTCCCAGAGTTAGCAGCCAGGTAACACAGTAGGACTATGGGCCTCTGAAAAAGTGGAATCAGAAATACAGCAGGAGTGAATATTCATGCCATGCTGATCCTATTCCTTTGGGACCAACACTGCCAAATACACATCGCTAATCAATGTTTAATCAATGTTTGTTGGACAAACAACTGAATTAAGGAATAAATTGAAGAGCTCATTCATTAATCTATCAGACTTAAAAAAAACCCACCACTATTATATTCCAAATTGGTTGTCTTCACGCATTTACAGTGTCTGGTTCACAAGGAAGTTTTACCTATTAGTTTTGACAAAGCAAGTTGGTAAGAAAGCCTTGATTCTGTTCTGGACCTGCTCACTTTTTAAAGATTGATTGATTGATTTGACAGAGAGAGAGAGACAGCAAGAGAGGGAACAAGCAGGGGGAGTGGGAGAGGGAGAAACAGGCTTCCTGCTGAGCAGGGAGCCCGATGCGGGGCTCGATCCCAGGACCCTGGATCATGACCTGAGCTGAAGGCAGACGCTTAACAACTGAGCCACCCAGGCACCCCTGGACCTGCTCACTTTTTATGTTGAAAGCATTCTCTGCCTAATCCAACTGCCTTGAAACCTAATCAACAGGATGACATTTCATACTCAGAACATAATTTTGAAATTCGCTGATTCACCATTAGGTTAAATGGATCAAGTTGAAGATTGTTGGTTACTGTCCACATTTTCCTGGTTTAAATTTAGCATATGATCAGTAAGTCAGAGTTATCATGAAGTAGTGAAATAAACCAAGGAGACTACCACTTAAAAATTAAATGATTTCAGGAGTGCCTGGGTGGCTCAGTCAGTTAAGCGTCTGCCTTGGGGTCAGGTCATGATCTCAGGGTCCTGGGATCAAGCCCCAGGTCTGGCTCCCTGCTCATTGGGGAGTCTACTTCTCTCTCTCACTCTGTCCCTCCCTCTGCTTGTGCTCTCTCTCACTCACTCTCTCTCTCAAATAAATATTTTAAAAAATGATTTTCAGAAAAGCATTTCCAATAAAGTATTTTATACCTGTATCTTTTTTTTTCTCTTTAACATGGACCTGGGAGTGGATTTTGATATATACGTATAAAGGAATGTGAAATATTGTTTTCTTTGTTTGTAAACTAAGAAATAAAACTTTCCCAATGAATGGGAAGGGAATTTCAGTGATTTCCAAAATGATTTTTATTACAAAACTACTTCAATAGGGACAAACTAATCTATGTAGAAACACTTAGAAAACAAATATTACAACTTAGATACGTTATATTGACATGTTTATGAAATCACTGCTTACATAGTCAAAGTGTGCTCAGTTCTAGATTAAAAAAAAAAACAAAAAACAGTTCATGAAACCAGCCTGCAAAAAGCTGTTAGTTTAGACAACACAATATAAAATAATTCACTATAATCACAATCTTGTCTTTTATAAAAAAGTCTGTATTTAATTCCACATTCACTATCACTAAAGCAATAAATCCGTTTTTTAAAATGTTTAAAAACACTGTCATTTAACTGTCTCTGGCTCTTCTAAGGTAGAACGTTTCAGTTCCATCTTGGAGGAGCACTTCAGTGGATGACCCAGGACCCCTGCCAGCCAGCTGGAAGTGGGGATCTGATAGCCAGACACAGGGAAGGCAGGGGCTGAATTTCTACCAACAATGGGAAAAGAGAGATGAGGGTGGGTGAAATATGTACATATGAATGCTTTTGGTGTTTTCCTTCCTGGTCCAAGAATATTTAGAATTCACAAATCCTTCCTTGACTTTTTTAAGGACCTTTATTATTTGCATTAAGTGGTACAAAGACATCTTGTTAGAAGGTACATAAATTCACTTTAGAATGTATCCAGATAAATTGTTTCCCCAAAGACAAGAGTTATCCATGTAAGTCTATCAAAAACTTTAAAACCTGCGACCGAGAGCCACAACACGTGACAGCTTTCAGAACTGGAAAAACCCCATAAGCCATTCTCAAAGCTGAATGTGGCCAATACAACTTTTCTATCCACTTACCTATTGAAAATAGCAAGAAATCATTTTTAATGATTAGCTTTAGCACAGATAGCATAATTGTCTTTTGTACAGAAAGACCAGAGTAACAAAAATACAATATGAAAGATTTCACGCAATGTTGCCGCTGCATGGGCAAACATCATTCTGTCTATTTAATACCTATTTACTACACTGAAGGAAAAGTGAAGGAGATGTCATAGGTCAAACTTGGCTGTGCAATCATATTGCTAGGAAGTGTGGAATTGCATGGACTTCAAAATATTTAAGGGGAAAAAAAAAATAGAAAAATCATTCCTGAAAACAAGGATCTCCCAAAGTGGGCCTCTGAAAAGAAAACATCCATGCCTTAAAACTTTTGAGAGAGTTGATGCAGTATTTGGAAACAGACAACTTTTGGCATCCAGAAAGAAAAACAATTTTGTCATTATGGATCATCAAGCTAGGAGAGCAATCTGCAATATAGACTTTCAAAGTGCTTAACCCCCATAGAAAAAAAAAAAAAAAGTAAATGGAAAGTGTACCTGTGCCTACAATGAACATCATAGCTCAAACGGTGTAGATGATGTAAAGGATCTTTTTGAGGTGCAGCTTCAGATTTCCAGGGAGACGGTGGCTTTTAGTGCCAATCATGCCTATTAAAGCCATGGGTGGAGATGAGCATCTCTGTGTCTGGGCCGTACCAGGCTCCCCTACTTCTGTAAACTGTTCCCTGGCACCTTAGACTAGTATAAACATCTCCTTTTTTGTTCTTTTCCACAGAGTTTGTCTCTATTTTAACATCTTGACAATTGCACTGAAATTTGGAAAATGTTCACTCAACAGTTATTATTTGCATGGCTTTGTTTTCAACTGACAATAAAACAGAATGGAAAGAGAAGCAGATTTAAGACTGTTCTTTTGCTCTTATTAGCTCAGTGAATCTACTAAAAATGTGTCTTAAGTATTTATACCATAGGGTACAGTGTGAGGATTGAAATGAGACAATGCAAGTCTCAAACTACCCTCTCTGTGTGACTCTGTCATTACACTAGCCCCCAATGTGGATCTTGAATTGGTCTTCCATCTCTGTCTACATATCGTCTAGAATAATGTCTAGCTCTCAGCAGGAACTCGCTAAATGTATATTTGCTCAACCAACTGGTAAATATGAGTATTGATATAAAGTATCTCATGTATCCTTCTAGATAATGCACCAGATTCACATAGTCTATAGCTTGACGAGAACAGAAAAAAAGCTAATGAGTGTTCAAGAACCAACAGAATAAAGTAACATTTTAGAAACAATGAATCAGCAACAAATTGTCACTTTAAGCCACTTTTTACCGCATTTATATAAACATGTAAATAAGTCTCAGAGGGTTAAAATGAATTACCATTTTTTAAGGCAAAATAACTTAGCAAATGGGAAAAAGTGATTAAACACTAACTTTTAAAGTTTAAAGTCACTGTTTGGTAGGACAAGTTATAAATTTATGATGTGGGAATGAGTATTTTTGTTGTCATTCAACTTGATTTTAGAAAAAACAAAATTTTAATGTGAACAATGCCAGTGAGGAAATAGAAATAACTGAGGATGAATGAAAAGATTCACTTTCAGTTGCAAACAACAAAATGGCAAAAATGCACACATTATAAAAGCATTATTAAATTCATTTAACCATTATCAAAATACCCTAAATTGTGAAAAATGGATGAAAATAGTAATAGGTCTATGCAAAGATTTAAGACAAAGACATGTAAAACTTGCCAACACACAAAAATCCAGGGGCTGGGAAAGACTAATTTAACGTAAACTCAATCCGAATGGCATCTCTGCCAATTTCATTTTAACTAATTTTTTACCCAGTTTCCCTGAAGATAGTGAATGTCCCTTTGTGTCTCCCATGGTAATGAGTACACATTAAGTATTTAGTAAATACTTATTGAATTGACTTGAACTCTAATTTTAATTCCCTTAAATCCTTCCTTGAAGTAATTTGCACTCTTTCCCATGGATGCTTTAAGAAAGAAATTCTTATTTGGGTAATGGGAATTCAGCACCCAATGCATACATTTGGTAATGAGAAAGCATTTCTTGAAAGGAGCTCTGGGCACAGTTCCTCCTCCTCAAGGCAGGTCTCATTCCACCAGACCGCATGAAGCCAAGTTTGTACACCCAGGGCTTAAAACACAGGCTGCCATTCTAATTACACTCACGGAAATTCCCTCCGTAACACATTTGATTTGGCAAGTGCATGTGGTCACAACTCAGGGACTTCATTAGGCTTTCACAGCAACCTTTACCCCAACTGTTTAAGTGATGAAATGGATGTCACATCAACTCCTTTTCCAGGAGAAAAGCAAAAACACGATGCTGAAATAAAATACAGCATTCATATTCATTATGAACGGGACAAAAGGCTGGTGAACAGAATTTTGAAATTCATCAGCAGAGAGGTAGCATTTTTCACAGCTTGTGCACAATCAGTGAAATGTCCCTGGGTGCAATCATTGGGAAACCGGGTCCCAGAGGGTGTATGTCAATTTGTTTACACTTTGCCTTTCCAGGAGTCTCCCTGCAGCTTAAGGAAATAAAACTTCAAATACCCACATGACATACAACACTTGAAATGTAAACTAAGGAGATGAGATGTGGGTGTCCATGGACTGTTTGCTCTGTGCCCCC